GGGGGGGGGGGATATGATACTATTTTCAGTTCTATGAGGGCCAGGCCCCCCTGGACTCCCCCTTCGTTTGTCTATGGCAAGGCAGTTGAGCCATGAGCCATTGAAGTCGAGGATGCCCAGACTGGAGACTCTTAGCATCTGACGACGGAAGAAAATGAAACGCAGTTACTAAAAATATCCCTCTGTACTGAAAATCTTGAAAATAAATAAAAATTTTCCAAGAAGTATACTTCTTGGAAAATTTAAGAAGGATTCTACAGTGTCCCAGCGTGTTTCTAAAAATCTATTCACCTTTTGCGAAATTTTTAGGGTAAATTTTTCACTTTTTCTTACGAGACAAGGGTTGTATGTGAATTCGTAGTGGTTTTTCACGGGTAACACTGGCCCCGGTACCAGGGATCCAGTATCCCCCCCCCCCCTCGTGACGGGCCTGGTGGCATCTCTGCCGTGCTAAATAAAAAACGCCGTATGAACATTCAAGAGTTGCCAAATTTCCTTCGATAAAAAGTTAATTTTTGAGGGCAGTATGAATATTTTCCCGATAAATATTCAAGAACTTCAGGTAAAATTGCGAGCAATATTATCTGAAAAATTAAAAGAAAAATGTTGAAAAATTAATTTTCCCAAAAATTCGTGATTTGCCAGAGGAAATTTCGTAACGTCTGGAGGTTCATACGGCGTTTTTCCTTAGTACGGCAGATCTAATACTTTGTCTAATGGTCCTTTGTTGAATGAACTGCAGAACAACGCAGAGGGGTCGTTTCAGTTTTGATATTGCGATATGCTGATCATGATTTCTGCCGTGCTAAGGAAAAACGCCGTATGAACCTTCAGGCGTTGCCAAATTTCCTTTGATTAAACGCGATTTTCCTGGTCAATTTATGAACATTTTCCTCCCAATTTTTCAGATAATTTTGTTCACAATTTCACCTAAAGATTCTGAAAATTTCAAGTAAAAATATTCGTAAATTTCCTCAAAAATGAGCATTTTATTGACGGAAATTTGGCAACTCTCGAATGTTCATATGGCGTTCTATCTTAGCACGGCAGATTTGTAGAGCAGCTACTCGTGCCTAGGAGATGTTTTCGAAATATAAATGAAGAAGGGAAAACACATGGTCATTTTGGGTCCTAACAGGAAAATCCGCCACAGGATGAAACGGGCCTTCTAGAGGAATGGAGAATTCGCACGCAAATATTTTATTGCGAGAGTGCATAAAGAGCTGATTTCGCAGTATTTTTTATAATTTTTTTTTCTGTAATGGGAAATAGTCTAAAAATTGACTTAAAAGTGAGAAAATGCACCGTCTTGTGACGTTATCTGGCCGCATTTCCTACCTATTAAATTTCATGTATTTTAGCAAATTAGATATTTTCGTCTCATCTCCTTCAATAATTGCTCGATTAATAAACCAATGGTATCCTCGAGCTCAGTTAACTCTGCAGTTTCCACTTCAACATGAAATTCTTCAAATTTTAGACACCTGCAAATTCTCCGTTGAACATGAAAATTACGACTAGAACTGCAAATTTTGATGTCAATTTCCTCACATTATGAATTGTATGGGAGGCCTCTTACCGGAGATTTTACGGGAAAATCGATGAAACCACCTCTAAAACGTCTATGGTTTTAACATCGATAGGAGCTTTGAATTTTTCCAAAGTCCGACTCTTCTCATTGACTCGCTCCACTGAGCGCCGCTGCGCGCTGGTGAGGCCGGTTTGTGTCTGAGGTCAAAACGCCTTCACTTTTGTGCGTATGCAACACGGACATCCACAGAGCTCGATTAGTTGCGTGGTCCAGGCGTTATAATGAGATTCGTTTGGTACCTGTCGCATGCGAGTGCGACAGGTACCAAATAATACCTAAATAAATACTAATAATTGAGGCCTTCATTATTTCTATGTCGCCTTAGCTCATTGATTATTAACGCAACATAGTCAATTTTCCGAGAAATGCATTACTTGAATGTATTACAACATTACTGGCCCTTGAAATCGCAAAAAAAATTAGGTAACTAAAGATTAGAGGAGTTTCCGTTAACCTACTGCAATGAGCCGTCTTTTGTGTGGATTTTTTTCCCCCTTGGAAAAACTAATTTTGACACTAAAGTGTGAAATCTTCGAAGCACAATCCCACTGGATTGCACGAATCATAAGCCTAATGCACGTTTCAGATTTCCGAGGTGCAAGGACGAAACTAGTACCATAAAGCCTGGTAAATATATACGAGAGACTTATAATATGTTCTGCAATTTCCCATCTGAAATATGGGCTGCGAATAGTACCTCAGGGTGAAATCGGGTCTAAAATTATGAGGTTTGATTTAGGGGCTGCATGCTACTTTCCGTCGTTTTCTGGACGAAAGAATGTAACTACATTTCAATGTTAAAGCGTTTCTACTTGCAAATTTTATTTTCAGGAGGGAACTGTAAATCATTTGGACAGAGTTTATCAGAAAGGAACTATCCCACATTTTTGAAAAAAAGCTAAAGAGCATTGAGCTAAGAAAGTTTTCGAGTTCCACTAGCCGTATATTTCCTCCTGCCAAAAACTGAAAGTCGAAAAACAGAAATTAGTTTGTGAAAAGAGGGGTTAACGTTAATTTTCTACATTGAGTCTTATGCAGGAGTAAAACTTCAAACCTCTTTTTCTCGGTTTTAACTTAATATGGGTTGATTCTTTTCTGATAAACTCGGTCCATTTAAAGCTCAATATTTCACTGATTTTTCTTCCGATATCATAGAAAAATTAGCAAAATTTGAGACTAAATTGTAGGCATCTTTCAAATAAATTGAATTGTTTTAGACAATTTTGTAATCTTTGAATGGAGTTAGATACGTTTTTTCATCTGAGCAATGGTGTATTTGGACGGATTTTACTGGAACTGAACTAAAAATATTAGGCAGAGCCTGAAAGCTGTTTGATTTTTTAAACAGAAAACTGAATAACACTCAAATTTAAACTATTGTGAAAGCATTCTTCATAATTGAAGTTACGTTCACAGGGCATATGGATGAGTTAAGTAGTTTAGTTACCTGTCAAAAAAAAAAAAAAAAAAAAAAAAAAATAGGTATAAGAGAAAATTAGTCATTCCAGTAAAATCCGTCAATTGTATTTTAGTAAAAATGCTCGAGTCTTATCATAAAGGGGAAAATTCGACTTGAGATTAGGAGCAAACAAAGAAACAATTGAACAGTTAAATAATATATGTATATAAATTTTATTATACATTAATCAATTAATCAACTTAAAATTATATCACATATTGCACTTAAAAGTAACTTATCCTTAGAAAAAAAACCTTAATTAGAAAAGGGCGATAAAAGACCTGAAACATAGAACTTCAAGACATGGTTTCAGAAACTTGACTCAAGAGGCAAATCATACACTAATTCGTTATTAACTTTTGCTTTTTGAAAAATTTGGTATTTTATGCCTGATCAGGTCTCTGAAATCAGTCATCAGTTTTGGCAGCTGACCATATTTATCCAAATTAGAGTTGATAGTTCAGCAAACATAAAGTGGATTGCATTGAGCAGGAAGAAGCCAAGCCGCATCAGCCATAGCCAACTTTCATGGGAATATTCATTCTTTAACAGGAGAAGAGTGCCTAGTGTAGATTTTTTCAAAAATTTCGGAGGATTTCCACTGATGTGAAACAAATTACCTAAAATTTTCAAAGGAATCTGTACGACCATTCTCCTGTAAAAAAATAAATTGTACGATGGAATATGGGAATGGATGAAATGACTTGGTTCCTTTTTGCTTGACCTGGTCCACGTAGCAGTATTAAAAAAAAAAAAAAAAAGGTAAATATTGCTTTTAATTAAATTTAGGACAATACTTTCGAGAGATGGAATTTTGTGATTGACTTTTATCGATGCAAGAATGACGGACTTTCAGTCACTTGCAGGATAAATATGACCGAGTGTTAAGTGAAAAAAAAGCTAGGAGATGATCGACACATTGTTTTGTGGGAATTTCAGGGGAAATTATTTTGCATTGTATGCAAAACATATTTAATTTAGAATTTGTTCATGAATTGTGAGCTTCACTGATTCTCGATAAACCTTCTGAGAATAAAATTAAACAATAAAAATAAATTATAGAGAGCATTACTATAAAAAGTACTTAAAATATTTAAACACGATTCACTCCTTCCCTTGCGGGAGAGATATTGTTCTTGTGCTACCTGACTGCTTACAGCAGCAGTTAATTCATTTTCTCAAATTATGCTGATTCATCAAGACAGGAATACAATCTTGGTCCTAAAGCAAAATTGATTTTACGGACAAAATTATTTCACAATATTTGTATAATGACGCGGAAGTATTTTAATCAACTTGAGGCGCAAAGCTGATTCTAATGACAATGCAAATGACAAAAAGTCATACAGAAAATTCAGGAAGAAAAAAAAAGGAGGCGGTCGTATTTTGGGCATCTTGGATTCTGTCGATGACGTAGGTGGGTACTGACGCTTTATGTTATCAATTTTCATGAAAATGGTATAATAGGTGGAAAAAGTCATCCTATATAAAGTGTTTGATTATATTTTGGGTTGAACTAAACAACAAAAATTGACGTTATGGTCCGTTTTCCATTGTTTGGATTTCGAATTTTGCTCGAATATTGACGCCATCTTGTGCCCACCTACGTCACAGGGTATATAAATCGTAGATTGCAACCACCTCCTTTTTTTCTACGCAGAAAGTCAATTCGTATAGGATAGATTTGTTTCAGAAGTACACAATTAGTTTAAACAAGATCTGTCAGTATATCATTTGTTTAATTGTACTGAGCTTATGTTATTCGTATCATCTTTGGTATACGTTTGAGAGAAAATTTTGAACAAAATTAAATTATAGTAACACATATATTTTGATTTTAAAATGATAAAATGTAAATCATTTTGACCTGAGCAAAGATTAGGTGTCATTAAACATTTTATAGGGAGCCTTTGATTGTGCTTACGTATCAGAATGCTTAAAATTATTCATCGTAGATTGCAGCAGAGCTCAACTCATAATGATTTACTGATGCTTAACAATTTTTAACTAAAATTTACAATTGTATGGGTAAATAATTAAGTAGGAAAAAGACTTGACGCCTCCTTCCTAGCGAGTTTCAACTGTGATCAAATCATTCAAAAAGTTTGAAGATTTATCAAAATTGTGAAATGTATTGATACTTCTGAATTTAGAAAAGTGTAGGGATATGAATATAAAGCGACAAATGAGAAAGATATCTGTCACTACATTCCAGTGAGATTTGAGAAGAAGAGGAAGGGGGAGGGGACAGCTTTTTGTGGCGGGAAATTAATATTCTTGAGGCAGGTTCTGCCAAACGAATTTTGAAAATTATGGAAGAGGGAGAGGGGTAGTAAATTTGGTTGAAGATTAGGCAATTCCTGAGAAAGGGTTGATTAAGGAGAAAAAATGCGTCATGTAAGAGTGAGACCTTCATATGAAAGAGAGAGAAGATAACTTTTCCTTCAAAATTGCAACCATCTTTAATGGTACAGCTATTCTGTTATTTCGTTGGTAAAAAAAAATTTAAAAAAAAAAAAAAAAAAAAGTTGATTTATTAAAAGTGAAAAGGAATTCATTTTACTACTTTTTCGAACGCCAAACAAAGAAATTTCAAGGTTAGTAATCGAGGGAAAAGTTTAGATTTTCTGCAAAATAAAAGATTCAGAAGACTGAGCTAGAAATCAGCCTAATTTACAAGACACAATTATGACAGCAAACATTCTTAACATTAATTGACAATTTATCGTTGAGTGAATAATATCAACTGGTTTTTCTATGAATCGAAAAATGTGCGCAAAAATTTCAATAAGTAAATAAAATAATATAATAATAGAAGAAAATATGCATTGATCTGCTGGAAACAAAGATCATAACAATGGATTCTTGAACTGCCCTTGTGGGTGAATGAATTGAGACCACATGAATCATGGAAAAATTGATCGAAATTAACAATGATTGATCAAATGAAAAAGAGTAATTAATGACGCACAAACATACGATATTTTGAGCATACCTTTTAATCAAATTAAAATAAATGAAACAATGATCAAACGAACATAGTCAAGACAATATTGAATCAAGAGGAAAATCTTTTGGATACATCAAAATTTCAAATACACGACTGATCTTTCTTGGTGATCAAAAATGAAACTTGATTTTCTTTTCCAAATCTGATTGGAAAATCCGTTGTTCCTCAGACAAAGGAAAATATCTTCATTCCGAGGTTGCCCAATCTTCTTTCACCATTCTTTTTTTTACATGAAAACGAACGCGTAATTCCTGTCTAAAATTCCACTGAATTTAGACAATAATTTATCAAGTGCCAATCTGTGAAAGTTTCAATGAAAAATGTCTGGTGGCATTAGGTAAAAATAAAAAATTTGAAAGAAATTGGACAAAGTCAAAATGTAGTTACTTCCCTTTATAGAAGGAATGACGAACATACTCATAGAAGTTTAGAAAAACAAGCAAAAGGTTTTAAAAATTGATTTGAGTTTGATTTCATATTTTGATTGTTCATAAAATATCAAAGGATTTCTTTTGCTTGTGAATATTGCACTTCATAATCAACTGAAGCTTTAGGGTTAAATGATGGCAATTTAGAACAAAGAATCAACATCTTTTACTTCATTCAGTGCAGACTCTCTATAATTTTATAATTTTTAAGCGCTTGCTGAATAAAAATGACATAATGACATGCTATCAGGCAAAATTTTCTTGCTTCTTACTGAAGATTAAATTACACAATGATGGCAAAACTATGAAAACAAATACCTCAATTAGCAACAAAGCTAAATGCTACCACTACTTCATTTTTCAAGGGAAAACGAGTCAACATGAGAATATTGGTGACTTTTTCTCTTTGAAAAGAATATCCTGCGTGAATTGTAAGCAATAAAATTGGTTTGCTTTCTTTAAAAAATGAAATAGGCCTTGAAATTTCGAAAAGCAACGATTAAGAGTTCAGTTTTGAATCAGTTTTGTTAAGTTTCAAATCAAAATATTGCTTTTTAGATACCAATCACAAATTTTTTGGATCTGCTACTGATTTGATAATTTTTTCCGCTGATAATTCAGCTTTAACAGAACTTGGAGTTTGTATTTTTGGCAATTTTTCGAGTATCCTCGATATAAGTTGTCGCATAACTGGACGGTGCGGATGACAAAAACAAAGTTTTTAAGAGTTTTGCTGACACTAAACATAACGGAATGTTAATCGAAAACAAATCAAAAAGAGAAAAATTAAGAATAAATTAAAGTATTTATATTATAAACATCCTTTTAACTTAAATCAATAGGTAACAACAATATTCTTACACAATCACAACACTCAAGAGTTTCAGAAACAGAGAAGAACATCAATTGAAAGGACGGGCACAGCCGGAGAAAGGTACTGGGCAGAATGTAAAAAGAAAACGCACTTGACTAGGATTTAACTGTGAGTTGGTAGCTACACAGGAAACATTACCAAAATCTGTCTTAATAACTGCCAATTTTAAATGTTCCACCCCCAGGAAGTTTAAATGAGATCGCTACTTTCGGGAACTACATAATTATATCAGAAAAAAATCTTAGATTAAAATTGACTGTTGAGTTTAGCATTGAACAAACTCATGAATGTTTAGAGCTGAAACTTAAAAAGAAATGTTAAAAATTTAGAAAGAACTGACCTCTTTGATTGATTTTTACGTGGTCCATAAGTTTTTAAAAATAAATCATGTGATCCATCTCAGTAAATCTAAACAGACGTCTTTCGTTACATTTTGTTCCCAGTTACTATACCTGATGTTTATTTTACTTGAAAATTATGTTAAAGCCCTTAGTAGAGTTTCCTTCTTGATAAATATTGAGATTTATTTTTTAAGTCATTATTATGGCGGAAACTAACGACTTTGGCGCACGAAACTTATGAAGTTACCCTTGCCACAGTTGTTGCAAAGATTACTTCAAATACGTCTTGAGGAATAGATAGGTATTCAGATTTAAAGCGAATAAAGGGGAACATAACAGCATTGAGATAGAAATGGGTAAATGTTTTAAATTTTGATCGATTAATGAATTTATTGATTGATTAGATCAATTTCATTATAAACCTAAGTTCCAGTTTCTGATTTTTCTGCCAAGTCCTAACGTGCTAGCTGCTTTACCCCAGGTGTACGTACTCTCAAGAAAAGATATCATCGACTGAACAGATTTCATTGATTTCACTAGGGGTTCATAAGATGCATCAAAAGTGACTTTATTGTGAGCGAGGATGAGAATAGGTACTGAAAATTTGCTCATCCGAAGCAATTTTGGACACAGTTCCAAAAAATATTAGGGAAAGATCAACTGTGAAACAGCGAATTTTGCCTAAATTTGAAAAATAATTGACAGAGAAATTACCCTTTCAGTTGGAGAGTCACAGAAAACTTGGTGCGATGAATTTTATTGCGGAAAAATTTTGGTAACAATGTCTTCGCGTATCCTTCTTGGAGCGGACCTTTCGGGGGCCGTTCCCGGCTGTGCCATGACAGAAAGTCAATTGAGCATTACATTGAAAAGATCTCGGTGAAAGTTCACGCGTCCTGCGTATGTCACGTGCCGATGAGAACATGCATTAAATTATCTAATTCACTGTCTGTCCTTGAGGTATCACTTGGCGATAGCTTCCAACTAGGGAGGAGGTCGTCTAGATCTTGAGTGTCGTCGCCGAGACCGCCGTTGTTGTTTAGGGGGTCCAGATCGGACTGACTTGAAAGACTGAGCACGGAGCCCCAATTAATACTTCGGCTATCATCTCCAAGCCCCGAGTCTAAGTCGTCCACGGACGTAGGATAAGGCGTCGGGCACCTAGGGATTTCGCACGGCGTCGTCGATTCGACAGGACTGTCGAAAGGCGACGTCAAAACGGTACTATTATTGCTATTACTATTATTATTACTATTTAAACAACCCTCTTGCTCCATCTCCCGCTCTATGAGCCTGAGCGTGTTGCAAATTAGAACTGACCTATGGAGACTCGGGTCTGAGAATTGTCTATATCGGCCTAGTTTACACATTGAAATATTGAGCACTGCGAGACGCTTTTGTCTATAACACGCGGGACCGCGGGAGCACCATCCAACTTTTCCGGTGCAGCAGCGGCCGTTGGCGTTGCCATTCCAGCTGCCCAGGTCGAGGTAGGACTTTCCGTTCTTGTCGCATCGTATCGTCTGCTGCGACTGGTAACTCCAATGGTGACCGTAGTCATCCCCTGGAGGTTGGTACACGTAGGGTTTCGACGGGAAGTAGTAGTGGTCGTCGTCCCATTCTTCCACCTGCTTGCAGTACTTCACTGGTTGCCCCAGCTCGGCTTCGCAATCCTCTAGTTTACGTTTGCTCCCCACAGCTTGCAGCCCCATGTTGGAAGGCTCCTGAAACACACAAAAGGTCGACCGTTAGTATGTTTCGGTGCAAATTACCAAATGACTACATTCGATGATAAATTATAGTGTAAAAATGATCAAATGAGCAAACGGACTTAAAAAAAAAAAGGAAAGGAAAACATTGCTGAAGACCTCATTATAGGGTACCTATGCGTTTTTTTCATTCTGAAAGAACCAAGTCAAATAAGAATCATAATTTCAACATAGGTGTTACTTAATGTTCTTTTTTCCGTTTTTCAGAGTCACTTCTTGCAAAGAGCGCGATAAAATAAGACAAATGAAAAGAAAGAAACGCAGGCTTTTTGAATCCTGGTTGAGTGTATGAAACTAGGTTCCCAATCTTTTGTTGGTCTATTCTTTTCTCAATCAGAAAATGAGTGATCGCTGTGAATGTTTCTCCTCAATATTTGATACTTAAACTAAAATACCACCTCTCGATATCGCAGCAATAACGCAAAATAAAATTGCGAGGCGAATAATCCCGGCGAGGGCAAATAATTCAAATTCAAAATATTTTGAAAATTTCTGAAAAATCAATAAGAACAAGCTGGAATGGCCTTTAAAAGGGGAGGAGGGGTACCGACCCCTCTCTATCCACCCCGGCAGCAAATAATGTGTCATTTTTTCGATCCATTCTGCAGCAATTGTGGCAGAATTGCCGGGAAATAATGCTCCGTCTTAGGAGTGGGACCCCGGTGATATCGTCCCTAATCGTGGTAAAAGTGAGCAGAAAATGTACACTTCTTCTGTTTGGCCGAGAAAATTATTCGAGTTAGGAAAAATTCCTACAAGCGACCATGAACTTCGAAGAATGGAGACGACTGGAGAGTAACTAACGGAACCACACGTAGTTTCACGATTGGATAGCCTGTATCAGGGGCGGATTCGGCGACATAAAATATCTGAAACTGGTTTCAATAAATATTCAAAGGATCGTGGGAGGAACGACACGCGTGACGCGACCTTGAGCGTCCATGTTCGGTGTATCGGGCGCCTGGGCCTTTCGCCCCCCCCCCCCCCCCCCCGCGCTCGCCCCGAACGGGGGTAGCGCCACCCCAACTTCGGATCCTTAATAAAAACTCAAAAATAAGTCTGTGACTTCGTCAGTTTGCCTTCAGTTTTCAGTGTAGGCAATGCGAGCTCCCACGTGGTCGAATAGTGGTATCACTCTCAGGCGTTACGGCTGCACGAAGGAAAAGTGGGAGTCGCGTTGACTCTAACTCATAAAATGCCTTCAGTTTTTAGTGTAGGCAACACGAGCTCTCACGTGGTCGAATCACTTTCGGTTGTTAGGATTGCACGAGAGAAAAGTTGGATTGGACTTCACCGATCGTGGAACGGCGAGTTTAGCTAGTATTAGTTTAAAGCTGTCAGATTCATCTAGGTTTTAAAATACGTGCGATTAGTACAGTTTCCCCTATGAATTTTCTTCGTTTTTGAATTATTCCGGTTTCCAGTGTTGAGGTGGATAATATCCTTGGTCGGTTAGATCACTTAAAAACGGCTTATCAATAGGGAGTTTATTTCTGTCGATGTCCAACACACTGGAAAAAAACACATTGGATCTAGAGTCTAGACTCTTGAAAACATTGACAAGAAAAAATACTCTTGATTCAATCAGATTTTTGCTTGAATCAAAACGAAATCAGCTTAAATTAAGTAGCTTGGTTCTTGATTCAAGCTAGATTCTGATTGAATCAAGAGTACTTTTTCTTGTCGATGTTTTTAAGAGTCTGGACTCTAGATCCAATGTGTTTTCTTTTCCAGTGCAACATTGAGACAATTAGGACAAACTTAATTCCTTACTGGAAGCAATTTTGTGGCATATTTTTTTGTTTTTTTAATTTTTTTTTTTAAATTTTTTTTATTTTTTTACGGTTTTAGCAGAGGGTAACTGAAATCTCTACCAGGCTCCAAGAGCAAAGACAATTTTCTGAACAATACCAGCGATTTCAGATGAAAATTCTTCTTCAGATACTACGTCTCAACTCCGAGGGTCGATATTTTCAAAACATAGCGTTCCGACTCGAGCTCCGAACCGGTCTCTCCCTCGAACGGCTAGATTTTCCGTCCTTAAAATTCAAGGACTGGAAGGCGGCGAAAAGAGAGAAAAAAAAAAAATCCCGCCGTAAAAAAGGAGTAAAATGAGCGGAGGAAAAAAAATTGGTCTTAGCTCCGCTCCGCGCCGAGCTCACGAGAGAGTCGGTTTCTCGAAGAACTGGTTTGGGTCGGGATCCGAGGATCGAGGTCACCTCGCCAGCTAGCCCCCCTCCCCCTCCCCCACGGGGGTCCTCCCCCCTCCCTGAGCGGACGGGTGGGCCCCCTTCGCTCCGAGCCTCGGTGCGGTGGCGCGCAGCATTAGCCGCCTTCGCCCGCTTCATTATCATACAGCGTAGCCGACTTGTTCGGAATTCCCGGGTTTTTTCGTGGGGAATGGTGAGAAATAGGGGATTTTTACGATCCGGCAACGCTGCGTCGTAGCACGGCGGGGTTGCCTAACCTGGCGGGCTCTCTCTTGCGATTCGTTGGACTCGGGAACAAAGCGCTGCTGTTTTCCTCCCGTTTTCACGGAGCCATCCGCGAATTCCCGATCTGCGACTGGATTAGGGCCGATACGAGATGGAAAACTTCAAAAATTTCGCATAGCAGGAAAATTTAAAATCGTGGATCGAGAAAATTTTAAATTTGCGATTATTTTTTTTTTTTTTAATAGAAAATGTTCGGGTAAAACTTTGACTGGAAATTTCTATGAAATTTTGTAGGTAACCCTAGCAACTAAGAAAAAAACCGAAAAACTTGAAAAGGGGGTAATATTCGAAGATGCTCATAGGGCACCTGTTAAAAAACCAGAGTTGATAGAACTAGCTCTGAGAACCATGTATGAAATTCCAGCTGTCATCTCTGGTGTTACATTGTGGAACCAGAGAGCCCAGATATTTATATATATAAAAAAACATGATAAGTCAAAATGTGGTTCTCTTGCTCGTTGATTTGTACCGATCAAAAACCTGGCAGCTGAAGAAAAAATCTCAAAAAGGGTCATCGGAGAAAGGTTAGTAAGAAATTTGAGGGAGTAATTATTATCTGACAATGGGCGACCGGATGGGATATGTTGTAAATAATACCAATTTTTCTGCGGTAAGATTACAGATGATTCCGAAGAGTGAATCAAAATTCGATTTTTTCGATTATTACCTCCACCTCCTATCGTTGGAATCCTCAAGAAAAAAAAAATGCTGAGAAATAAGGGGAAAGGGCTGGAAAACGCGACTACGACATCACGCAGGTAAAAAGTACATGATTAGCGATGAATATATATGAACAATTTAAAAGTGTGGAGCATGTGAAGGGATTGGACAAATAATTTCTCAATCTAGTCTAGCATTTGTATTTTCATTACATGTTAAAACTAAAAAAAAATTCATATGAAAAAAAAAACTGCTAGGTTGATGGGCGGAGACTTAACGATGGACAAAAACAAGGAGAAAACTATAGGTAATAACGCTAGGCACGAATAATAATTGTAGGGTTTACTCCGTCTTCCAGAGATTTTTATTTAATCTAAAGAATACTAATAAAATGTTTGTACTTATGCAAGGACTTGCAACGCCCTTATCCGTGAAGTCAAATGAATTTAAGTGCTCAAACGAAAATAGACGGGAGAATATGCTTGGTGACTTCAACGCATAGATAGAAAAAACAACTCGCACGCCTAAATCTGGTCTGTTACGACTTCAATGCGACACCACTGAAAAAACAAACGTCGCATGACGTCATGTGGCAGCCGCATTATTTTGGCGGGAAACGGAGAGTTGATTGCAGCAAACTTTCAGCGATTTCAGTCGCAGTTTGCCGCACCTGTATCAGCGCTGTGTTTTTCGGGACATCTCTTCAGCTATTGGTGCGATTTTAATTTTCTGACTCCAAAAAAACTTAAACATAAATTTCCCGGAAAAAACGACTTATTGACTAGCTCGCACTGGGGGATATTGACCCTTTTTTAGGCGAGATATTAAGAAAAGGAAGCAGCACGCTGGCTGGAAATTTAATGGAGCCATTCTCAAGGAAAAAAAAAATTGATTCACCTCAAGCGCTTGATGACAGACCATATTCGGGGGCCGGTAGGTGTATGCGTAGAGGTGCCTTGGTAATTTTTGAAGTTCTGAATTTTCGGAATTTTTCTATTTCTGAAACATCAAACGAGTACTTGTGAACTTCATGCAATTAGAAACCCAAAGATTGTACCAGAGGTTTAACCAAACAAACAGAGACACTTTCTTGATTCTTCGCTCAACAAAAACTTCTTCGTCATCAACCGCATTAGTGTTCGATTATTTATAATCATCAGATTATGGACATTTCAGTTTCTCTCATCAGACAGAACACCTCAGAGATAATCGAGCACTAACACTTGATTTCTGACATAAAAAGCAAATGTGCGTCAAATTGTTGGTAAATCCCTTTCATACAAATACAATCAATGGAGCTGGAAAAAAATAAGTGAAAAACCAAAAATAAAATAGGGAGGAAATCTCACACCACGTCTCAGAGGAATAGCATTCTTTCTTCAACGCTCTTTGATCCGCACGATTTAGTACAGATAACCAATTAACGATAATTTTACAAATTATAAATATAAAAATAAAAAAGATACCAGCCACACCTGTGTAGGAATGTATCAACCACTGAGAATGTTTGAAGTCAAATTACATTATAAAAATGGAGGTACGCTCTTGTAACAGAAAAGCAACAATGGAGCACTTAAGTACATGTAACCGAAGTTATCGGTCACTGAGACCGAACTTCAGTTCAGGCGATTGAAGTTTTCGTGAGGCATACCACGGCTCGTATAAGTTACCGAAGACTTCGGTTGTCTTAACCGAAGTTCGGTTCGTGCGACCGAGCACTTCGGTTAGCTCGAACGAAAATTTTGGTGTCCCATACGCACGCAAGTTCAGTCCTTGGGACCGAAGTTTTTCTCTTCGGGAATGAATGCCAAAACTGGCGACAGACCAGAAAATCAACGGTGCCAAACCTAACCGAAACCATCCAATTTTCTATTGGAAAAACCGACGGATTCCAGCCCGATGTTGCATCGAGGGACGGGCGGCTGAGGCCAGGCCGGAGCTGCCTTCGCCTGGCGCACAGTGGACCGAGTCGATAGGAGAGGTCGGACACAAATTAGAAACTTTAATCGCTTGTAACTTCGTTTATCCAAAACTTCGAGGTTCTAAAATTGGTTCCATTGGTTTTCTCGTGAATTGGAGATGTTGCATGTGAGAGGAATTTGCGATTTGACTATTCTTTCTTATGTAAAAAGTTCGTGAGAAACACGATGGTGCCACCGGTTTTCTCTGAAATCAACTCCCAAGCTCAAAAAAAGCTCTCAAGTTGAGGCCAAAATAGAGGGAATATCCCGCGCTATCCTGAGAGTCCACATCTACATCAAGATAAACTCTCCATGCAAAGATAAGGAGCAAAAACATTAGCAGGGTTGCCGTGTTTTTAGTTTTGGAGTCCCCAAATGGAGTGGCAGCCCTGTCAATGTATTTGCTTCCTATCTTTGCATGGAGAGTTTGTCTTGATGTAGAAGTGGACTCTCAGGATAGCGTGGGATATCCCCTCCATTTTGGCCTCAACTTGAGAGCTTTTTTATGAGCTTGGGAGTTGATTTCAGAGAAAACCAGTGGCACCATCGTGTTTCTTGCGAACTTTTACGGATGAATCGACAGTCAAATCGCAAATTCCTCACACATGCGACATCTCCATAATAAAAAATTCCATGTCGGACCTCGGCTGGGTCCACTGTGAGGCGGTTCGGTTGGTTCTCCGCCACCTTCCACCGTTCCACCGTGCCGCGCCGCACCGTCCAACAGCCGATGACGACCGTTCACCGGGCCCCAAGACTACGGCGAACTCCAACTCCGGGCTCGGTTCTCTCTCTCGCGCGCGAGGCTGGGGCGAAGCGACGCCAGTCTTCCTACCGCGCGCCTCCCCCGCCACCTCCCCCAGCGGACTGGCTCTGTCTCCGCTCTCGGGGACTCGCTCCGCGCTACGTTCGCAATGGATAGAGTTTAGTAGCAGAAAGAACCGCACTGGAAAAAAAATACATTGGATCTAGAGTCCAGACTCTTAAAAACATCGACAAGAAAAAATAATCTTGATTCAATCGGATTTTTGCTGAAATCAAGAACTAGGCCTCTTAAGTTGAGCGGATTTCCTTTTGATTTAAGCAAAAATCTGATTGAATCAAGAGTATTTTTTCTTGTCAATGTTTTCAAGAGTCTGGGCTCTAGATCCGATGTGTTTTTTTTCCCTTCCAGTGCAACTTTTTCTGAAAACGTTTGTTGTGGACTTATATCTCTCATTTCTCCTTTTTCCGAAATTTTAATGTTGAGACTGAAGCAACTTTGTTGATTTTTTGTTTACCACGAAGATCAAAGATTTTGTACAAATTATAATTATTTATTTTCAATTTTTAGTATTTGGTTCCTGTCCCCTACACGCATATGAAGCTAAATCAATACAAAGGAACCAAAGTGGCCAATTCGAAAAAAAAAGGTGTTTGCATGAGGATTGTTTACCGTGTAACGTAGGTCGGTACAACCCGGTCAGCAAAATCCGAAATTCGAAGTATGAAAAACAGACCATAAAGTCCAATTTTTTTGCTTAAACCAACTCATGATATAATTTTAAACACTTTATATAGAATGACTATCTTCCATCAACTACACCATTTCCAACACAATCGATGATAAAACTCGTCCGTACCGACCTACGTCGTCAAAAAAATCGAAGATACCCGAGATGCAAACACCTCTTTTTCTCTCTATGACATGCTGGGAAAGCTATTTTTTTTTGTGATGAAACTACTGCGATTTCATGTAGAGTTATTGACACTCCAAATTATTACATACATATTTATTTTCCATCCAAAATCCTAACACAAATTTCAAAAAGATAAATGTAACGAATGAATATCCTTCACAGTCTATGACTAGAGAACGACATCACGACCCATGGACGAAAAAGACCATCGTTGGAGAAAAACAACCTATCGCAGAGCAAGCTGGCAAGCGGGGAGCAATTTTCCCGAAAGGGGGCCGAGGGATGGCTCGTAGCGGGAGTGAGTTGGGGGGAGAGGGGGAGGGCAGGAAACGTAGGGTACCGGCAAAACAGAGGCGGGAAAAACACCACTCGGCGAGGAGTTGGAGTTGGATCGATACGCCAACCGGAGCTCGACTCTGGGCCCTCGTCTAATTCGCTGCGCGCAGCGCAGCGCCTGCAACTCACAGAGGTAGGCAACACGCTCGTCCCTCGCTTCGTTTCGCCGAGCTGTACCGTTGGGCAAAAACTGTTGGCTTACGGCCGAATTCACACTCCTTCCTTCATGAGCTCCTTTCCGAAGGTATGCCCTAGGGTTAACACGGAGATTATGGAGGCTTTTAACATGAAATGAAAATTTTACAAGCCACGAATCAAATTCAATAATATGACTTTGAGAATGGGTCCACGCGACTGAGTACAATGGTTTGCTACGACAAAACGTGTTGGATACAAAGGCGAAAATATTACGAAATTCGAAAGGTTTGAAGAGGGTCTGTTTCTACCTTAAACCTCGAATAAATCATAGGAGTTTTTACGCGATGTTTGGAATTGCTGGAGTGTAAAATTATTGTGATCACTCGCAAAGCTTTGTTAGCGAAGTTTTTCTGTTGACTTTCACTGGAGGCTTGAAAAATTTGACCTCTACAATTTTAAAGATGTGCAATTTGTAATGCCTTCTGGGTCGCCATCTTGGGAAAGGAACTATTCAAAGAACGAATAAGCTTAGAGCTAGAGTTCTTCAGTATGCTTACAGAGCTGAGCGGTGCGGAGTTCGCTTCGACGAGAACACATCTGGCAAAAATTTGCAATTTTTTTCTTTTTTTCCATTAGAAACATCTTTCTTACAGACTGATTTTTAGAGCTTAATTTTTTTAGTACGTGCATACCCTTAAAGCGCATATTTTTGATGGTAATATATTGAATAATTTTTTCATTTTTTTTTTATTTTAGGCATCGGTGAGGTATTCATTACAAGCCAACACTTCCACCTAACATTTTTTTGTGGCTTATCCTCAAAATGTCTGTGTTTGATAGCGGCTTAATGCATTTGTTTTTTTCCGCGATCTTTTTTTTTCACGTTTCCCTATCACACTGTGGATACCTAGAACTGAAATTCTTTTGACGCGTCATCCTCAAAATGAAGCTATTTTTGTTTTTGGTTTGGTTTGGGGAACCTTAGTTTTTGAAATTTTCGGTCACTATTCAGCTAGTTTCTTTGAACAATACAGTCTGATTTTTCCTTTACCTTCAGAGAAATTATGGGTTTCTGTTTTTCCTCAGAAAAACTCAGAGTGGTGCACAGAACATTTAATCATTAGGTAAAGTCTTGTAAATTGGAAATATTCGAATTTCGTGATTGAAAAGTTATACCGTAACTATCGCTCAATTTTAGAATTAAATTCACAAAAAATAAAAAAATAATTAAAAATGAAGCATTAAAAAAGTTGAAAAATTTTCTACGCAAAATCAAAGGGGATCTCGAAAAACGTGTTTCTCCGTGCTAAAGGGTGCTAAAAATGATCGACTTCTGAAGAAGTGCTGTTAAAAACTCGAACCGAATAGAAACCAAAAAGTTTTTCCGAGTCCGCATTGATTTCTTAAGGTTCCAACTGTCTAAAACTCTACAAGACCAAAAAATTCCTTGCTTTTTATTGGAGTTTTTCGCACTTATGAGAGTAAAATGAGATAGTTGATCGCTAGTTTGAAGATATTTATTTTTTCCTCTTTCAGAAATCGTAACACGAACAAGCGGTACAATTTTACCAAACCAACTCCGATATTGATTATACTCGGGCCTCCATTAAAACGGAAAAACTTAGGGGGGTTAAAAAAAAAAAAAAAAAAAAGCCAATCTTAATGTCACGATACCGACGGATTGGATGGGAAGGCGACGGAACGAGAGAGAAAGGGAAACGAAAAACTGAATCATAAGCAACTCTAAAAATAAAGCTCGCAAACTTGAGGGTTCGGGAAGCCGACGAACCGACTGACGACTGCGAAATCCACGTAACTCGACCTTCAGACAGAAGACTGGGAGATAATTGCGGAAAAAAAAATTGAATCGAAACCGCCGCCGCGC